AACCTGTTTCCAACCTGTTCAATCACAAGCTGCATGGAGGTGCTTTTCACTTAGTTAAACTCAAATATTTACAGGGCTAAATTTAATAAAAATGCTTAATGTTCGCCATCTTCAAAATGTGGCTCATTTAATGAACTCAATACATTTAGTTTATCTTATTTAAGCGCAGGTGGCAAATACCAACGAGTGGTGACACTCCCATCGACTCAAAGAGCAAGTCTTAACTAGCTGCTCTCGCTTTAAGATTATGTTTAGGTAGGAAAAACTGACTTCAGCAGGATTAGCAGCACTCAGGGGAGTGCATGATTACAATAGAGGCTAAATTAGGTTTCTTTCACAAGGATCTGCATCCGGTCGGTGGTTGTTCACCCACTTTTGCTCCTTCTAAAAACTAAAAGACTCAAGAACAGATGAGCAGAACTAAAACACAAGGTCTAACTGCATAATCAGTCACTAAAGGCCTCATTCCTGAAAGCAGTGCAGTGGAAAAAGGGCCTCTTCTCTGTGATCTAAAATACCAGAGAGTCACTAGATGTTAACAAAGACCAAATTCCCAAAAGGCTTTTGCTGCCTCACAGTACAGCACAAAAAACAACAACAAAATAAAAACAGACAACAAAAAGGGTGGAGACTAGAAATGATTATGGTTAAGCCGAGCAGGAACAAGCTGTGACACGGTCGCTGTGAAGAGAAATCCACTCATGATCAACCAGATGCCACAAGGGAAGGAGCAGCGTGTATAAAGTTAAAAAATGAGTAGATTCAAAGATTGCATCAACCACAAAAACCTTCACAGTATTTATTATAAACTGGCTGTTCTTACTTTATGTTTTTTAACGAATCATTTGTTCTTTTCTTTCACCGGATCTTCTACACAACAAGCCTGAGCGACATAAGCTGGTCATAAGTACATTCACGATGCTTAATAAGTTTATCATGATGTTTTAATTGTTTTTGTTTTGACCTCATGAGGAAACGGTTAATAGATCAAAATTAATAGACTCTAAAACGTGCCTTTAGCTGACAGAGCGACCCATTTAAAGCAGGGATTATACTGAAAACAAATATGTAAACATTTTGCATTTCAGATAACAAACTTGTCCGTCTGTCAATATTCTCCATCAAGAACTCAAGTGGAAAAGTTTGAATTTCACCTGGTTTTATTTTGCAACAAATCTTAACAGATTAATCAAATCAGAAAAAAATAAATCGAGAGATTAATCAATTTTCAAAATAATGTTAAGCTGCAGCCCAAATCATTTGCAGAACAACCTTGAGCGTTTAGAAAGGGCTTCTAAATAAACTGTAATGTTTTTAAGAATAGTTTGAAACCACACCAATTCCATTTACAGCCATCATGATTCAGTCCTGACAACTTCTTTACATCTTCTTCTAACTGAATATAAATTCTATATTTGATGACCACTTGCTCAGCTGGACGGTTTGCTGCTAAATCCATGGCTGGATGACATGGAAGGATCTCCTCATATCCCGTTTTATCAAAAGATACTTTGACCAAGATTTCCCAGGATTGAATGAATGAATTATTAAAGGGGAATCTGTCTGTATGATTGGGTCGATTATAATGTTCTGTATATGAAAAGAAGAAGACGACATGAATGATCAACCTCCATTTCTTTAATTTTGTATGATCAACGATCGGCCAATACTTAGAGGTGAAAACAATCTTATCTACCTCTGCTAAAGGTCTGAAAATACTAATAATGGGTACTGTTCAGTGTCTTTTTAGTGAGATAAGGTAACCACAGACAGAGTCAGTTATTTAATAAAATAAAAACTGGCATATAAGGCTTATTAAAGATCAATAATCACAAATCGACCAGGAACCAGCGATCTGCGCTCCCCTACCTGTGATTAACTGTTTAGACCCTAAATATGACCAATAGTGGAGTTCTAGATCCCGAAGCTCTGAAATCATTTAAAAATGTGATTCTAAAGAAAATACTGACAACTTTAAACTTTTCCTTTTTAAATCTAAAATACATAATTATGCTGGGTAAAGATATAGCATTAAGATGAAAGCAGGTTGGAAACAGATAATCCACTAATTTAGTAATCAGGGAAAACTTGACTTTAGTAAACAGACTAAAACAAACTTAGAGCCGTAATTAAGCCAAAGCTGAAGAGAAGATGTTTATATTATATAATATAATGCAAAGCCTTCTTTTCTGTAAATATGCTCCATCTTTTAGTGGCCTTTCTGACCATTGAACTGTTAAGTTACATGTATTTTTGTTGGGTTTTTTTCCTCATCAACATTCAAAATATGCTATGGATGTTTTTTGATGTTCGGTATAGCTCGATCAACTACTGAAATGATAACTGTAGCCCTATAACGAGAACACTTAGCTGCTGGAAAGGTCCATGGTAAATGTTTATCAAATCTTTTCCCCAGTAGGTCTATTTTTGTATTTAAAAGACTTGGGATAAAATTATCTGGGTCTTTTAGAGTCTCGTTATCGACAAATGATTGTACGCTTTTTCGGCACCTTGTTGCTGCAAAGAGAAATGTTTTACAAGCACTGCAATAAGAACAAAAACAAAAAATACCAAAAGAGAAGACAACAGTTACATAAACTGTTAAAAAAGCCAAATCCCACATAAAAAAAAACAAACAAAAACAAAAATGAATCAGCTTAAATTACTTTTTTCATTCTTATTTTTAGACTTTTTCATGTTAAAGCAAACTGTGGTTCTGTTCAGCAGTCCTTGCTTTCATGATCAGAAATTAACTTTAAATATTAAGCATCTAAAAGCTGCCTTTTGTCCTTGTTCTGTTCTATTCATTTTTAATCAATTGATTAAAAAGGGAAAATAGATTCATAATCAACACCGAATTAATAAAAGTATTATTGATAAGCTGTTTGTCAATGTTTATACATGTTTTCATAAAGCTTTATAACCTTAGAATGGGTTAAATAACAGACTGTTTAAGCCTTATTTCCTGACCGTTCTTTGAAAATGCAGAGTACTAAAGTAAAAACGTGCGTCATGAAAAATAAATAGGCAGCTCCCTAATTTCCTCCTTTTTTCTTTTCCAAGATGCATTTTCAGGTTTTTGTATCACTAAATGAATCAAAAACTCACCTATTTTAAAACTAATAGTTTTTTCATAATCTAAAAAACATAATCAGACCTTGCATTTAAAATCTAGATTAAAATTGCATTGTTTTACCCTTACTAGTATATTTTGGTCATGCCCTAAACTGAGAAAAATGTGGAATGAGATATTTGAGGCATTTACAAAAGTATTGCAGAAAACTTCTAACAAAGATCCTGAGATGAAAATGTTTGGATTATTACCGAATGACGTTACTGGAAGAGAAAAAAAATACCTCCAACAAATGTCACTGATTAGGGCTTTTAAATGTATCACAATTAAATGGTTGAAGGCTGACCTGCTAACGTACAATATATGGATAGAAACGGTCTGGGAAATCTATCATATGGAACAAATAACTTACTGCCTGAGGCTTCAAAAAGATATATTTGACTTTTTCTCTTCTTATATATTTTATCTTCTCCCTTATCTTTATTTATACATTTTAGTTTATTCTTATTTCATGAATTTCACTCCATTTGTGCTGCTTATTAATTAACCAACCATATCTATATTTGTTTGTTAACTCATGTTTAATGATGTAACCTTCTTTATGCTTATACTTTCAAAGTTGTTAGGTATACTGTAAGGGAAAAACAGCTGACTAAATGTGGATTTGTATGTACATGTCTATATAAGTCGCAAAAATTAAAATTAAAATTAAATGCAGTTTTATGGCTTTGAAGGCCTTGTGTGTGAATCAAAGTTATATAAACAAAGTTGATATTAATCAGCCCCTATTTGTTATTCCTGTTTAAAGCATTCAATTTCCCCCAAAAACAGCTATTTTAATACGTATTGAGATTATTTCCTCTTTATTTTCCTTTATGCCATCCTTAACTTATGTAAATGATGCGAATAAGAAGTTTCTCTCGGAGATGTTTTCATGCTTATGTACTCAACAGGCACTTCCTGTTGGGATATGACGACATTTAGGTCAAAGGTTTAAAGTCAACACTGAGGAGGATAATAAAGAGCAACTTTGTTAATAATCCACCCAATCCCACACAGGCCACTAACTCCATTAACACGACCCAACCACCTGCTACAGCCGGCAGAGATGTGCGCTCTGATGTGAACTTCCCATGGAATACATTTCCATGCCCTGCTGACACGGACCTGACAGTACAACAGGAAGCATGCAAAACAAACACCACACCTCCTCTGACCATATCAAACCCCCACCCCAAACCTAAACGTCACTAAAGGCTTTAATCCAAAACAAAAAAAACCACTGCTTCTGTTGATGCTCCCACATTTCCCCTGGAGATAAACACAAGGTTCAGTTTCAGGAATGGCGGCTCTCAGGAGGAAGAGCCACAGGAAAAGAAAGCGTTTTTGTTCCCCTTGGTTCATCTGAGCGTCTCTCCGCCCACACAGCTACACATGCTCCATGGGTGAACTATATCTCTACCCCTCCCTGGAGTTTGACCCAAGCACAACTGAGGCTGCCAGTTATAATTGTCATTAGCACCTGCTATGCTGGAGGAGCAGATTACAGCATGTGGAAATGGAGGGACTTTCTCTGACCACCATGACGGGCATTGGAGGGGGATTATTTAGTAATCAGATAATTTAATAATTGATTTATGGTGAAATGGAGTGTAGAGACTCTAAAAAGTGCCTTTAAAGTAATTATACCAGGATCGTAAAAACAAAACATTTTGCATGTAAGATTTAAAAAAAAAAAAACTCCAGAACTTCTGGTTTAATTTCATAAAAAAGTCTTCTTTGAGGAAGCTTGTACTATCTGATTAATTAAAAAATTAACAGATTATTGGATTTGCGAAACCATTTTCAACACAGTTATGAGATGTATCTGGTACCGTGTCAGTTTTGCCTTTAAAAATCAAAAAGCACGTGAAGAGGCCGCACTTACATTTTGACATGTCGCTGCTCAATGTCCACTCTGGACAGCTCCTCCTCTTCCAGGTCAGAGTCCCCCCCAGAGCTGCTTTCGGTTACATCAGAGTCGAAGGCGCTTTCTGCTGAATGAAGGTTTGCCGACCCGCTCAGATACAGCCTCTCCAGCTCCAAGGGCACAGATCCGCTCTTCAGGAACCGGCTGAGGCTGTCCCTGTTGTTTGACGAATAGTGCCGCCCAGTCCTCCACGCAGCTGAATGTGGGGTCACCTCCGACTTGCGGTTACCGGCTCGTAGCCTGCTAAGAGCCGAGTCCAAGAAGCCGCCCAGCTGCTGCTGGATGTGTCTCTCCACCTGCTTGGCCTGCACCACCTGAAGGCGTTTGCGCAGGCGCCGCAGACGGCTTTCGATTTCGGCCTGCCGCTTGCTGTTGAGGACCGTGCGTTCTCTGATGTGAGCGTCAAGGCTGTCCGAGGAGGAAGTGCTGGGCAGGGGGGGCTCTGGTGTGGCTGTTCGTTTTGGGGATCCCTGCTGGCTGCTGCCTGGTCTGTCCCCGTCAGAAAACTGTGGCTGAGCCGTGGGCGTCAGCGAATCGGCGTCGTTTAAACTAACTTGCTCATCCGAGTTCAGGCTGTCATGGTTAAAGGAGGACAGAGCAGCAGAGTGAAACTCAGGCGGTTCAACGTTATTTCCATCCATGCTGGGCGGCGCCCCGGTGGAATGCTTCGGTTTAAGAGCTTCTCTTACTGGGATGTGACCGGATATGGTAGCGGTGACGGTCTCCGAGTCCAGCGCTGGGTTCTGGGACTGGGAGTCTGTAGATGCGGGAGGCTTGTCACCGTTCACCGCTACCATGCAGCCAGAGCCCGACATGCTGGCCAGTTTCTTGGCCAGGCCGTTGACAGGTGCCATGGGCTGGCCACTCCCGTTTGTGCTGCCACTCATGAGGCTTTTCAGCTGGTCGCCAGAGAGTTCAAACTCCTGCCTCTTCCTCAGGAGGAAGTCTCCCCCACCGTTCAGCAGAGAAGCTGGCAAAATCCCGTGGCTTTTCAGCACAGACTGTTTGATGAGGACTCCTTGCAACTTGATCGACTCCTTATTCGCAGGGACAGATGTCACATCTGAGCATAAATAAGAAGCCACCAGTGGCTGGAGTTTACCCAAGGCCGAGGCCTGGGACACAGAGGCAGGCTGGGGCTGCTGCTCCTGCGGCTCCTGGTCACCGCCGCAGAAGTCGAGGGGGCACTCTTCGGAGGTAACCTTGCACTTGCCTGGGCCGCTGCTATGGATGAGGATGCTGCTGGCGTTACCGTTGTTCTCTGCACTGGCCGGTGAGAGACTTGAGGATGGGGCAGCCAGTTTGAAGCGGATGTGGTGAGCTTCGGCTGGGGCGTCGGTGAGAGCGGGCGCCATCGCAGCCATGCAGTGCAGAGGGACGGGCACCTCGGCCTGCTCCACTCCACCCGCTTACCGCCCCACCTGAGGACAGCCTGGTGACAACAGAGGAGCAATAAGACAGGAGACGTTAAAGCCAAAGAACGGGATGGAGGGCTAAAAGCAAACCTAAAACATCACGATTTTTTAACCCACCAGCTTTGCTGGTCAGTTAGCTTACAGGAGGGGGAGGCTAAAAACATGTGATTTTATTAAATCATTGAGAAAAGAGAAATAATTCCTTAACAATATCCCTTCATTACAAGCCAACTCAAACTGTACAGCAATGTGACTGCAGCTGAACCCAAACATATAAATAAAACACTTGCACAACTGGTTCTGTAGGGCTATAACTGGAAAATTACTACCCGGATCAAAAAGGAGCGGGCAAAAATATAGAGTCATAGTAATAACTATAGTAATCAATATCTTATGTATCTTACCCAGTCAAATAAAAAGTTAAAGTTAATGAAATTAGAAATAAATGAACTGGAAACTGCCTGAGATTAATTTTCAACCAACAAACTCAAATTGAAGTGAAAACATTTAAACAAACTACTTGAAGGAGAACAAACCCTCACAAACTTATTCAATAACTAAAACTTTAGAGCAAATTTTACCCTAAGGAGGTCCAGCTTTAAAAAAAAAATGGACAGTAAATATAAGGCGCTGACCTTGGGGAAATAAGATGCAAAGGATAGAAGATGGAAAAACAGCAGTCACCTGAGCTAAGGCCGATAAATAATTCCCACTACAAACAGGCACGTGCCAACAAACCCTCAATGCCATTTACTCCCCGAGTTGTGAAAATAAAAAGTAAAACTCGTTTCTGGTGAGGAAAGCAAATGCAAACCGCCCGAAGCCCACTGCCCTACATGTGCCCAGGCAAGTCTGCATTCAGCAGGGTTCCTTCCAGCCTCTAAGTAGGTGGATTTAGGCCCAGCATTAGCTCAAAGCAAATGATGTCATCCTGTAAGGGCTGCTCTGTCATTTCATCTAAACTCCCTGTTAAAAATCCACCTTTCCATGATATCATAGCTGGAGAGCCGTTTCAGGAATTCAGCTTGGCAGGAGAATGTCAGTGGCATTGAGCAGGTTGGGTCATATCTTTCACACCAGCTGCATGCGTGTTGATGGGAAACTTTCAAACAGGCTGCCTTCAAAGTGTGAAAGATAAGAGCTGCAGCTCAGCGCATCTTCTGCAGGCTGGGATGAATGGGGGGGTTCAGTGTTTCACTGCAGCTTCTCCTCGGCGCGCACTACGCCATGTTGGTGTTTCCGAAGCAGATTATGCAATACAATCCATCCACCTAAAAGCACCTTTTCGGCTCCAAACACGCCTAATGACCCCCAGGCTGCACCGGGGAGACTGAAAACGATCCACGTTGGTTAAACCCAACAATAAATATCGCGTTGTTTTTGTTTTTTTCCCCCCCTCTGTCATGCGTGAGGGTTCAGATGCGACAAAAACGTCCACATCCAGCGTTAGCCAACCATAACGTAACCATCAAAATGTCTTCCTGGTGTTTACAGGAGCTTTTGCGCCTAATGTCTCAGCAGAAAGGCAGCAGCGCAGAATCCGGTGGTAAAAGGAGGTGTCAGGGAAAAAAAGGCTACGAATCAAACTGTAGCATAGATGGAGAGAAATATCTGGTCATCCTGTAAACTGCGTGGAAATTAATGCGCTTTGCTCCTGGTTAACGTTCCTCCAAGAAAGCTGCTGATGCAAGAAACAACCTGCTGGTAACCTGCGTTTCTCAGCACAATCCGCACATGTTCTCAGCACACCATTTTATTCAGCTTTAATATTTAACTATTTCTATCATCTGGAAAAGAGCAGCAGTAGTTTACTTAAAGCTTCGCCGAGCAGGTAAACATTTAAAGTGCTGTCCAACCTGCGCACACTGGCGGCGATAGTTGAGGAAATTTGGCCTCCAGTTAAAATGTTTAATAACTCTGAACAGGGATGGAAATAAAACACCTCCTGCCATAAAAACACACCAACATGGGCTCTTTAACCAGACATGTTTGTGTCCAACTACGTTAAAACAGCGTTTTCCAGAGCGAAACTCAGCCTGCGTTTTAATTAGACTCCAGAAATAAACACAAGTATTTGTTTTCCGTTCATCCGCACCACCGGGCCGCGGTCCCAGCCTGGTCCCGGGGCCGGAGGGGGGATCTGGGCTGCGAAGAGCAGAGAAGTTGGGAGTAGACCAAAGCAGTCTGGTTAGCTCGCTAACAAAGAAAAAGGAGGAACCTACCACGTGACGAGGTTGCACTATCCGAGGGAATTTCGGCAACAGTCCCCTGCAGTTTGGGTGGAAAAAAACCAAGAGTACCAACACAACACACGAGGCCCTGTGGGTCACTCTGCCATGAATATATCCAGAAATAAACCGCCAGGCTGCGGAAAGGGGCCCGCTCTTCGGAGCCTCTCGGCTTCGTTCCGGATTCAGCAATGGGCGAATCACCGATCTCCAGCTCGCCTCGCCGCCACAGCGATTATTAAAAGCCTAGGCCGCCAAACAGTCCGCCCTATTCCAGATTACTGCAAATGTAGGCGATCCCACCGCAATCCTGAAGCCAAAACCCGGATTCCCGACGAGGAAGCGCTAATCCAGACCGAGGTTCGACGCGAGGCTTTTACTCTCGCTTTAGGGAGAGACGCTTAGAAAATGGCGGCTACCTCCTCTCCGTCGGATTGAGTCTGACAAACATAGAAGAGCTCTGCGCGCGCGCGCGTGGATGGGTGTGCGTGCGCTGCTGTAGGCGGGAGACGCTTCTCCTTCTCACCGCTAGAGTAAAGGGCAGATAGACGGACAGAAACGCTCAGAGCCGATCCACAGGAGGGCATTGTCTTCCCACAAACAGCGCAGTGCCACCATCATCAGGCTGCAGAGATGGCTCTACTGGTTTAACTGGAAATATCTCTGCTCCATCCCACATGCTCTGAGATCAACTGTTAGTGGCGCACTGCCTCGCTTCATCACACACTTTATGATAATCATTCAGAAATTTATCAATTCATTATTTTCTATATCCGTCCACGTGTCCTTATTTCTACAGGTTTATTCCCTGTGGAGGCCAGACAGGGATGTGAATCGCCCACAGCAGCCTGCTGTAGCCAGGAGCCGCGTGAATGAGCTCTTCAGTGTAATAAAACACCGCATGGTGTCTAGGAGACAGGCCCAAACAGCTCCACAGCACCTGGACAAATGACTCAAATTAACCCAGTAACTACAGTCTTTCATTAAAAAACATATATACCTACTAAACTTCATTTAAAAAAATCTAAATAACTCGATTGAAATGGACAAGTTACTATATGTATTACTTTAAATCAAATACAAGCACTTTTATTTCTGTTACATTTTATTTTTCAACCAAAATTTGGTGATTTCAAAGCATAAAAGGATTAGGGCCACTGGAAAAATAAATACAAAAGATGGAATTAGGCGACTTTTGAGGGGTCCCCGGTGATGCCATTTCATTAATGGAAGAGCAGAAGGTGATTAAAACGAGAGAGCTAGTTTAGTGGCTACAGCTTGATGCTAACATTGTTAGCTGTCAGAATTCAGACTTTTTTTCTCATATACTAAAATGAAATTAAAAAAATCAGTAAACTTTTATTTTTTCAGTGGCCCTAATCCTCTTCCATACATATAGGCTTTAAAAGTCTAAATATCTTATTTAAGAGTTCCATGCCTTTAATAGGATACTGTAGACGTGTTCTGCTTATACATACAAAATACCTGTAAACTCAAAGATTGTCAATTCCCATTTATATTTTGCTCCATTTAATGTATTATCTTATTTTATTTCTGGTTTACATCCTGCTGATTGATAGAAGATGACTTGGTTATTAGTAGAATAGAATAGAATAGATAGAAGTAGAGCTCAATATAAGTAAAAACTATATTAATACCCTTTAAAGATGAGATGTTGATAATTAACATGTCAAAACTTCTTGTGTAATTCTAATTCTGGCCATCTTCAGAGAAATCTAACAGTCAGAGCAACTGTTCTGTTATTTGAGGCGAGATTCTGTTGAGCCGTTATAAGCAGTTAATATCTTACCTTCAGCAGATAACTGAGTTATAGGAAACTCCCCAGGAAAAGATAAACTACTCTGTTCGATGGTTTGGGGGCGGGGCCTGCGTCATTGCTTCTTCTATGGAGCTCCACTATTTGAATACTGATTTTTTTTTGCATTAGTTGGTTATTTAAGTAGAATACTGTAATAATTGATCATGAAAACCTATGATTTGAAGTTTGTAAACATGGCCATTTCAGACGCTTACAGACGTATGGACAAGCGTAAACGGATGTAGCAACCGGTGTTCTGTAAGCTCAGCATACCGCATCAGGCCAGCATACCGCATCAGGCCAGCATACCGCATCAGGCCA